CCTGTTACATGTAATTATTTTCAATCACAAACACCACTCCAGACAGACAAGATCATTTTTCAAGTGCTAAGTGTTACTAAAATATGATCATGCATTATACTCACAGCAAGAGTGACAGGGAAAGCAGTCTGGGAGGGACAAGGATTACTCTGGATGGTTTAATATTAAGGCATCCACTGTCTGACCCCCTGGTTTGCAGTTGTACAATCTGTAGGTCTGGGCAGATCTTCACTTAGCCACATAGGCTAGTTTTAGATCACTTTTTGAAGGAATACATCATTCTGCATGGACCACGCAAAGAGCCATGGGGCTGTCTGGGACGCTCTTAAGTACTGAAGCCAAGGTCTTAATTCCAGTTTTGGATTGTCAAGGCTGGTTGTGCTCAGTCAGACCTGCATGTCTCTCCCCATGCCTTGCTAACACATTGAGTCAGATGCAGCATTCATAATAGCAGTGCTTCAGAGAGCAGGGCAAGGAGCCTGGTTCATTCCCAAATATGGAACCTCTCCAGAAAAGCTGGTCTGTGACAGTGCCAAAACCTCCACTGGTACATGGTATGTCATCTAAAACAGCTGTCATGTGCCACCAGCACCTTCACTTGCTGACTCGCCCCATCTCACCGACTGGGTCCCTCACGCCTCGAGGCTGCAGCCCCTTTTGTGAAGGTGCCATTTACGGACCTGCACATTTCCTTCCCCTTTTAATTTCTTTTCACTACTGTAGTGGGTAGTGAAAGATGACAGAGGATGGTAATTACAGCAGATTGTTGGTTTTGGTTTTCTTCCTTTTTAAAAAAATGTTATAGGCATCCTAAGCATTTTAAGCAGCTGTAAATATGGGTGTGGAATCATGGGTAGCATAGCTGGCTAAATGCAATAGCTGTAGAGCTGGCCAGAATGTGACTTTTGAGCTAAACTAATAACTGCTCTTTACTGAAGCTGCAAAATTAGCTGAATGATTTCCACTGGGTTTGCAGCCCTTGGATTCAACTTGGATCTTTCACTGAAGGTTGCAGCTGTTCAGCAGGATCTGCATCCTCTGTGATTAAATAAATTGGCTGTGAGCATGTATGAATTATTTGGGGTAATGGTATGCAGCCTTTTTGCTTTTGCAGGATGTGATCCACACAATTGCTTATGAACAGGGATGGGTTGATTAGAAGGGAAGGAAGGGACTGAGGAGCTTTTGTCCAAATCCTATTAACACCACAGGCTTTGAGGCACACTCCACACTTCCAGTGCATAAAATAAGGGGGCCCAAATGTTAGTTCTCAGCTGCAGTGCCCATGCAAACAAAGGCAGCATCAGCCCTGTTGAAGTCATGTAGAATCCTGCTGAAAGCAATGAGACATGACACACACATGCTCATACATATAAATATACCTCAGAGCATAAAGCAAAGCTTGTGAAACTTTTTCTTGCTGACTAGCAGGCTTTAAATCTTTGTGGAAATCTCATGCTGAAGGCAAATCCCTGAGCTTGGCCTGAACTTTGCCTGCAGGAAATACTGGAGGACACAAGTGCACAGCAGGTGCATATGCACCACAAAAGGAAACTGTCTGAAGGTCAGTCAAAACCAGCTGAAAACAAATGATATCAAAGGACATGTCAGAGCAACAGCTTTAAATCTTGTGGCCAGTGGGTACCTGTGACAAAACAAGTATTTATGTAAGTCTTTTTGTCAGATGGGCACTCCTGGCACCCGGAGTCGTCTCTGAAAGGTGTTGTGTTCACTCAAAGAAGTGTGTGATCTTTTCCATAGCTTTATACCTTGTCCTTTGCACATAAGCATGCTGCTACTCATGCTTTAGGGTCATGTGGCAGCACCAGCAATAGGCAGCAGTTTCCCATTTGAGCTCGCCGTCCCAGTCAGTGCAGGCTGCAAGAGGAAAAGAAGCTGCACTTCTCAATGGCTGGTACTCCACAAGTGAAACTCAGTGCTGATAAAGCTCCTACCCAGCTGGAGAGCCAGCTGTCACTGGGATAAGGAGGCTTTTTGACATAGTTTTCCCTTATTAGGTTTATCTCTTAATAGGAGGCACAGCTAATGGTGAGGCTCAGCAGTGGGTGCTGTGGGCTGGTTGTTAGACAGTGTTGGAATGGCTTTAAGGGCCAGCATCCATGTGTGAGCTCCTTTGGAGCAATTCAACATTACAGTATATTGCACTGCTAAGGAATTTTTGACTGAACCCCAGAATTTATTTTCACTGAAACTGGGCTTTGAACTTACAGATATGGTGTACAGAAATGAGAAAAGAGGGGCCTGAATAGGGAAGGAAATAAATTGCCAAGCTTTGTGATCACTGATCAATTGTAACATCAGAGGCAGAAAGAGCAAACAGGTACTCCTATTTGGAAAAGGATGAGCTGTGTTTGGAGAGTGGCAGTGGAAAGTGCTGTGAGCAATACTCGTGGGAAAAACCCAAACAACCTGTTGCTGCAACAAAACCTAAAGAGAGCTGAAAACAAACAGTCTGTGAATGCAATGGGCACTAGACACTCTTGCCACCTGAGGAGAATAATTGGCAAGGGCTGAGTAAGAGCTTGTTCTGGGTTTGGAGGAGCAACATTGTTATGCTAATAGTCCTTTCACTGGCCTGCAGTGCTGCTGTTGTGCTCTCCTGGAAGAACTGGGCAGAAGGCTTTCCCAGGACCTGTTTGTGAGGAAGGGCTGGCCGCAGTTTAATCTGGTCCAAGGCCGGCGGGTGCAAGCCTGCTGTCCCTCCTGCCCCCTGCAAACATCTCCCTGCCCTTGCAACAGAGCCTTTGCTTGCGAGGTCTCCCAGACAGTCTGTTCAGGTGCACAAGTTGATTGCAAACAGCCCGGCCAGGACAGTTCACTTTGGGCAGAGCAGCTCCTGAGCTGTGGCTGCCTAGGCTGGCACCAGGCACCACGAACAGTGTGGGAAGGGGTCAGAACCATGGCAGCAGTGAATGGGGCTGCCACAGTCCACTGGTCTGTGAAGAGACTCTGGCATCTAGGTGCTCTTCCTCCTTTCCCTGGCTATTCTCATGATCAGTGGTGACATTTCTCCTTGCCCTATGGGGTCCTGCCCCTTCCTAGCACACCACCCATGCTGGCTTCACAAAAACTTTCTTGCTTTAACAGTTCAAGAGAGAATCAGCAGGGGCTTTTTTTGGAATCTTAGACTGCTTTTAAGAAAAGTAGACCCAGTTTTGGCCTAAATTCTTCTGTCTGAGAAACATCCTTTCTGAGAATTTAACTAGAAGTGATTCTCATTTACATGGATTCTACCAGCTGCCCTTAGCTCTATGGCCCTAGGGAAAAAAAAAAAAAAAAAAAAAAAATGATACATTGAAAGATATTAATGAGGACATTAGAAGCAACCATACCCAGATCAGGCAAGGTTCTGAAAATACCTAGCATTCACATGACCTTAATTGCTTTTCTCCTGTCACAGCTGTTGGGCAAAGGCTCCATCTGAGAGAGGGCTGCCTCAGGGATTTCTTTTTCATTATGTGATGTAGATATGGAAACAGGAACAGGCAATGACTGCTCAGCAAGGGAAGGAAGAAGTAGGCTTGAGCAGCAAGAAGAAATTTGAACTTAGTGGAGGAAGATCCAGGAAGCTAAGTTTGAAGACAGATGAGATAACACTTCTGGACTTCAGTGCCTTGTTCAGGTGTGTCTTTGAGCAAATCAAGAACATAATAAAATTATTTCTGTATTTTACAGGAGATATAGCAATATGAGAAGCTTAGGTATCTTGAGAATGGAGACAGTAGAAAGGTATGTCAAGTTCCAGGCCCTAAGCCATCATCCCTCCCAGGACTCCTGTTAGACTGGTGTGATGTCCACAGTGACTCTGTCACAACATCCAGGGCTTTTTTGCCCTGGGAGCATGTCAGCAGAAGTGTTTTGCCACGGAGTGCTGCTCCTTATCATCAAGAGAAGAGGAGCAAGATTATGTGAGGTCATGAGGTATGCCCAAAGGCAGCAGTGACAGCTGTAGGGCTTGAAACCTTGTGGTCTGCCCAGCAGGTAAAAGGCACACCTGCAAACCTTGGGAGGGCTTGCTTGGCTTTACAGCCTGTGAAGTGTCAGGTGATCCTAGCCCATTATCTACACAGTGATTTGTTTCTGATCTCATCAATAACATCTGACGAAAAGGAGGCAATATGTAAATGTTGTAACATACATTGAAATGTTCTCTCTAGGCTGTGTAAAATGCTTTGCCAGCTACATTGGCCTTTTGGCAGCTGCTGCAGTGACAGCTGAGAATGCAATATGATAAAAATGCCACTTCTGCAAAAGAGTCATGGTGCATGGGTGCATTGCTGATTCCCTGTGATGCCTTGTGAAGGGACAGGATTTGCCAAAACATGTCTGTTTGGGGCAGCATGACAGCTGGAGAAAGCAAAGTGTCTTGTGAATGTTAAATCAAGTATGATAACATGACTCAAGACCTCTGTTGTTTCTGCTGAATGAATCAGGAAAAGTTTGTGGAGTGTGTACCTGTGGTATGCATTGATCAAGTGGTATGAAACCATTATTATCTTGCTTTTGAGAGAGTGAAAAACAAAGCAAAATAGCAACAGATTAGCACAACTGTCACTTTTCCTGATGGAACCTAGATGGACCCTGATTGATTGTTGTTTTAATTAATCAGAAGCAATCAGCTTGTAAATGCTGACATTAACACACTTTTATTTAACCTCATGTTGTGTATTCCAAATTGCATATTAAGCCATTCTGGAGAGTAGAAAAGGAGTCTAAAAGTTCTCAGATAATAGCTTCAGAAGCTGAGCATGGCAACTGATACTGAGCCACTCAGACTGGCTCCAGCCCACAGATCACTTCTAAAACACTGCAGCAGAAGGCAGCAATCCAAATGATTTTCATCTGTTTTTAGGAGGAGAGACTTCTTTTTCTCTAGGATTCCCAAATTGCAGTTTGACACTTTGATTCCCAAGTGGCAGCCTTTGTTTAAGCTAATGACAATTGCTTGTATAAACTTTTATTTCCTTTTCTCTCCATAGGTTTGTTGATTGGCTCTGGTTGCGCCCTCTATCCTCTTGGCTGGGACAGTGAAGAAGTCAGACAAACCTGTGGTAACCTTTCCAACCAGTTTGAATTGGGTGAGTCATCACCAGAGCATGTCAGCCACATTAGACTCTTCTATGTGTTGGCCATATAAATAAGCTAGGATATTAGCACAGATTTGGGGAAGCAACCTACCAGTGTGTGGTAAGCTAATCATATTGAATAATTCTGGAATGGTGCCAAGGCAGGGGATTTCAGATGAATCTCTGGAAATATTTTCCAGAACAACATTATAAAACAAAATATATGTATATATATATGTATGTATGCATATTTTAAGAAATAAATCAGATTTAATGGTCTTTCAATATGGGAGCTAACACTCCTGGAGGTCTTGACAGGGTAGACAGAGGTGTCCTGTCACAGCACAAGTCAAGGTAATTCTCCATGATTGCAATTGGCTGTCTTTGAATTCTGGAATGTTTATGGCCTTCTAACACAAGCCTAGAGTGTATTTGTATGTTACTCACATACTTGGGAAGCTGGCAAATAACACTTGCACCCTCTGTTTGCCTTCTCCCAAACAAGCTACTTGTCTTACTGCTGCTGACTGCACTGCGCCTGGAATGAGAGCCAGGGATGCAGCCACACTGGGCTCACACCTGTGCTTTCTCTGCAGGGACTCTAGAAAACAAGGGAACAGCAGCAACCTGAGGATTAAGCAGTGTGGATGATCAGAATCTGATGTTTGAATGCACATCCAAATCCTTGTTTAGCTGGAAGGATCAATGCAATTGCTGATACCCTTGTCTGTAGTACCCTCTGATCCTGTGCTGCTTGAGGAAGAGGGGGATCTGCAATCCTCCTGAAAGAATAGGAGGGACTGAGCACCTTGACCCCCCACAGACATGAGAGCTTCTGCTCCTAAGCATACAGAGCTCCCCATTTCCAGCTCTTGCAAGCTAAACCTTAGTTAAACATAGAAATTCTTTCTATAGGTGTGCCTGCAGGACTTGTGGAGGGCCTGTGCAAGGAATCCCAGTGCAAGGATCTCCTAGGGTTAAAGACTAACCTGCTGCATTATCTCTTGATTTTACACTGATGTTTCTGTCAGATTTCAGGAGTAAGGAGATTTGTTTCCATCTCAGAGGTATTTCTTGTCAAGATGTGCAAAAGAATTGAGGTTGAAAGATTAAAAATTACTGCTTTGGAAGAGATGCTCCAGGCCACTCCCCCTACAGAATTCCTGTGGTGTTTTGAGTGCATTTGATCTGGCAGGGGACCAGAAATTCTCATGACCAGTATTAGCACCCATCACTACAGTGCCACTGATGTCTCATCAGCACCGACCTATGGTATTGCTCAGGAGATACTCTAGAAACTTTACCTTGTTATTCTGAACTCTAATATCCTTCTGTGCTGTTGATATTAAATTTGCTCTTCAGTAAAGTATAAAAAGTTCCTGCAATTTTTTTATTCACCTCATAATAGATTTAAATACAGAGGAGAGAGAAATATGTAGTTAACTAGCAGAAAAAAAAATGTTCAAGAACTTAGATTCCCAGCACCATGGAAAGATGTGTCAACGGATGTGGTAGAAAGACCAGGCAAAACTCAGTGATAACTGTCGCAGGGAAAATTCAGGTTCATCACTGCCCATGGCCAATCTTGTGTGGAAGCCTGAAGTAATTCCTGGCCAGCCCATGGAGCAGTGCACCCTTTGAAAGGCCAGCTAGTGCCTCACTGGTGCATGCTGGTTCCTGCTCTCCCATGCCAAGCATGTGAGCAGCTCTGCTTCTGGGGCTCCAGCTTATGTCCCATGTTTGCTCCCAGGTGCAGAATATTTCCTTCCAAGTAATTTCTCTGCAGAGTCACAGAAGGTGAGCGTTGTGACAGTGTGAGCTCTTCAAAGCACTTGGGCACTGTTACCCTTAAACACTGTCAAGTCCAAAGTCAGAGCAGAGTCTTCAAGACCACGTTCGCTTTCTCAATCTTGACTTATGAGTCAGATACTTGCATAAATTGAGTTACTCTGCCTGAAAAGTCAGTGAAGAAACCAATGTAAAAAATGTCATCTGGCAGCTTTCCTTCCAGGTACGCATAAGGACTGTGAGAAGTCTTGCATTAACTGTGAAGGCTCTGACTGTGTTTTCTGGAGCTGGAGCACACAGTCCATGTGTGTGACAAATCCCTAGACTTGACAGCAGTGCTGGTCTCACTGATCTGCTGCAATTGTATGTCAACACATTACTTAACAGATCATAATGAAAGCGGAAATTTGCTGCAGTGATTTCTACTAGGCAGCCACTAAACATCTCCTTTCCATGTACATTGGCAGTGAACTTAAATGCTTGGCTATGGGGTTTTTTTACTTAATGTCAGTGTCTGTCTGATGGTGTGTTATCAAAACCATCTGTAAAGAAGAGGTACTGTCCGAGGGCCATTTAATAACCACAGTGCTAGTCTTTCATAGATACCTCTTGGTTAGTGATAACCCCAACCCTCTAAGTCTCTTCTGAATTATTAGAGACTGGCATACTCATTATAGCCTACAGGCCAAAGATGATGTTTCAAAGACTGAATGTTACTAACTCTCAAGGCAAATTTAAGTAATTATTGCTTTCATTTGAATATTTAATTTGATTAATCTGCAATGATATGCTTTCTGTTCCTGAGCCTGTGAAATGGGTTGTCTGAAGAAACACGCTGCATTCAAAATCTGCTCTCAGAAAATCTGAGCTGCTGTGAGCCCTGCACTGGTTTGCTAATGGAAGAAAAGGTGATAGTGGGAGTGCTGGTCCTGCACCCCCTGCTTCTGTGGGTGCCAGTGAGGATGACACAGAGAGGATGATTTAGCTCATGGTTGCTCTCAAAGGAGATGTGTTCACAGGAATGCTGATCAGCAGACAGCATTCAGCGTCCTCTTCCAGGATGGCAGAGCAAGTGCTGCAGCCTGGGCTACGGGGAACATGTGTGTGCAGTTTGGAGAGGGTCAAAGCTCAACAGGTTTGACCACAGAGCCAGCAAAGGTGGGCGTTCAGCACTGATGCTTGTTCTGGACCTAGAAAAAGTAAGGGAGAAAAATGGTTGAGGTTGAAGGGAGAAAACAAAAGCCAGGAGCTGCAATCTATATTAGAGGAGGATGAAGAAGAACAAGCAGGTACAGATAAGGGTCTGCAAGAACTTTCTTGAGAAGCAGCTGAATTGTGCACTGTGATATGTAATGTCAACCAGAATTATACTAGAATTAATAATTAAATGAAAATTTTTGCTTAAGGAAAACAGGACAAACCCCTGCCCCCATAACATGTTCATAACTAGAGAGAATAAATAAATAGCAATGCTAAGAACCCAGGAAAAAAGCCTGATTTTTAGTGGGTGTGCTGGATAAGAAATGCCACGTCTTCAGGCACTCTGACAAGGCATTAGACTAATAGGCACTACAAATATTGCTGAGATGGCCCATATTGTGAAGCGGGGACCCCTCCATCCACCCCTACCAAACACACACATTTCTGTATAGATTCCAAAGTAGTATTTAAAAAGGATGCAGGAAAAATAACTATGCCTTTAATTTAAGTGGATTTGAGTATTGTTTTTTAGAAAACCTGAGCTGACAGTGTGAAATACCCAGCAGTTTTCTGTTCTCTTTAAAAATGGATATTTATTTGATTTTTATTAAGTGAACTATGTCTGAAGGATTCACTTTAACATTTATATATTTAATTGGGCTAATTTTTTTCAATCAAATAAAATTGGTTGTATAGATCCATCTCTGACACAGAGGAGTCATTTTTCAAATGAAGATACCCTGCCAAGGACAACTCCATTTGTTGATTAAATTACATTCAATAGATGAGCTGTTTTGGAAAGGGGGATGGGGAATAACCTCATAAATAGACACCATAAAGACCTCCATAAAGAGGATGGTGTACTCGTAGGGGCTTCCTCCCTGCTCTTCTCTAGAAGTATGGTTTTACCATCATGAAAAGGAGCTCACTGATAGATTAGGCCTTTGACAAATGAACTCTTGCAAATCTTGTTGAGAGGTTAAAGCCATGATAGGTCTGTGCTGTGTTGCTCTTCTTGTAGCTCCCAGCTTCCCAGCAGTCAGCATGACCTCTGTGAAGGTCTTGGAGCCCTGCTCCCTATTGCAGCATCCCATCTGGATCACAGGTCACACATGAAGCAGAGTTCTCACTGAAACACTAGACTGTGAACAGGAAAAATCTTCTACCACTGTTTTAGGGTGTTAATTCCTAGAAATAGGGCAATTCAAATAAATGGGGGCAAGAATAAAGAGATGTTTACATTTAAAACCAGCACAGTTGCTTGCTTATTGACCAAGTCAAATTCTGTACTCTGATTTGGTAACAGGCTAATAGTACCTGAGGTGGAGACTGGAGTAGGAAATGAGCAGTGCTCAAAGGGGCTCCCTTTCACTGAGGATAGATCAAAATCATCCTAATCTCTTATTGCCATGCAAACTGTTACTGTTAGGTTGCATTGTTCACACCCTGGACTCGCCTGTGGGCCCATTCAGGCCAGCAGTGACGTAGCACAGCAGGATGGAGCTGCTGACTGAAGGGTGTAAAAGTGAGTCAGATCTACGAAATCCCTGGGTCTGCAAAAGGAGTTAGCAGGCAATTTCCCGAAAGTAACCGTCATTATGGTGTATCATATAGCACACATTCAATTTTGCTGAGCTAGAGGCACTAATAACATTTTTTTTCATTTCTAAATGTAATACACAAGAAAAACAGATGGAAAAGGAATGTTTCATCAGGAAATTCATTAAACTGAGGGACTCTGCATTAAGGTGAGAGTATGCACAAAAGTGAAGACTGCACTATGCATTTGCAAAAGCTTCCACATTCTGCATATCTGAGCTGTGTAAAGAAATCTTCTGAACTTGCATGCCTGTTTTAAAGCAGCAACGTGAGTGTACATGTGTGAACACATTTGTGTTGGTTTTAAAAGTCTAAAATCAATGTGAGACTTCATTTTTGTCCATTGATTTCCCTGGATGTGCATGTGCAAACAGCTCTGTTTTCCATGCTGATTTCTGGTACGATGGGTGCAGAGGCAGCCAAGTTCCACAGAAGGTCTCAGAGAGGTCAGGGCATACTCCATGTAATTTATAAAACTGATCCCCAGCTGGCATCTCGTGAAACAGCACTACGAGACCAATACCTAAGAGCCCAAACAGCAAAATGTTTATCTAGAATAAGATTCACTTCTTGAAACATAGATGATTCATGTCATCACGAGCCACCAGCCATTCCCCAGCCACCAGATGTATGAAGTGATACTAAGTACTTATTAGCCAGGAAGAGTGAAGACACAAAATTTAAGATAAACTCCATTTTTAACAGAACTTTTTTTGAACTACTTGGCAGATTTTTTTTCTTTCTTTGACAAAATACAGTAGCTCTATCTCATCCTTCACAGTCAGATACCACGACCTGGAGGTCCAGCTGCAGCAGTAACCAAAGCAGATAGCTCCAAACACACACCTTTGCTGTCTGTGGCAGCCCATCTGTCTGTGGACTGCTGTAAAAGGGCACAGCTCACCAAAGTTACTGTCTAGAGAAAAGCTGAAAAGTCTGACTCCCATCCTGAACTAAACAAGAGCTGGATTGGCCTCAAAAGCTCTTAGGAACTTCCCTCATGATGGATATTTGTTTCAAAAATCTTTATTACTAAGGTTCCCCTTTGCCACTTTTAGAGGGCTTGAAATATCTTAAAGAAAACTTACTTTTGCTATGGAAATCTTAGAGTAAATGAACTTTAAAGCACTTTGCAAGCAAACAGTGAAGTTACTAAAACAGCCTAAAAAGAAAGCAGAAAGCAGAAAGCAGAGTGGATGTAAAAAAGGCTTCGTCAACTATTTAATTTGTCTCAGGTGGCATCATTTCAGCATCTGGCTGAAATGGCTGAGGATTGACATTGAGTGCCAAAGAATCAAGAAAAGGATTTAGAAGGGAGGACAATTTGTTAGAATCCTATTAAAGGCAAAACATTAAAAGGTGTTTTTCTATAAGCAATCTATCTGAAAAGGGCATTTTTCTTGTTTGCAGATCCTCTGCAAACAGCACAGAGATTTCACACATTCATTTTTTGACTGGGGCTGAGCACAACCTTTACAAGCATACTTGAGCTGCAGCTGCTACGTTCTTAGATAAATGACTGAGTAAACTACATGCCAGTAAAGGAAGTATTCCATCAAGAAACATTTCTTCTTTAGTGCTACCCAATCATGTTCCATTCTTAAATCTTTGTAAGTTTTTGGTGACAATATCAAGGTCCACATATATTCTGTCTAACATAAGGAAAGACTATTTACAAGAGCATGTAGTGACAAGTCAAGGGGGAATCACTTCAAACTGAAAGAGTAGGTTTAGATACTAGGAATGCATTCTTTACTGTGAGGGTGGTAAGCCACAGGAACAGGTTGCCCAGAGAAGCTGTGGATGCCCCATCCCTGGTAATGTTCAAGGCCAGGTTGGAAGATCTGAGCAACCTTGTCTAGTGGAAGGTGTCCCTTCCCGGAACAAAGGGAGTGGAACTAGATGATCTTTAAGGTCCCTTCCAACCCTGTCCATTTTATCATTCTATGATAAAGCACATACCTTTGTTGTCAGAATTAGACATGGTCATGCAAGAATCTTCTGCAATCACTAGATATAAGCAGCAGCATCCAGAAAGGGACTCAGACCACCTGGAACAACTATTTGGTACTCATTATTATTCAAAAAGTGCAGCTGAACTTATTGTTTGGAATCCCTTCCCAGTTAAAAGGGAGAAAAATAGGACCTACCACAGCAGGGTTCATCTGCTGTACTTTACATGTTTAAGAGGAAATAGAGCACAATACAAGTGACTTTTCCTCTTCATCGTCTCTGAAGGGAGTCTGGGGTACTAGTCCAGTGTGCATCTTGGCATTGTGTATGTTCAAAGAGAGGGGAAATTGATTTCACTTCTGGAGTAGGGGAGCTTTCTGCTGACTTCTTGCAGAAGGCTGAGAGAGCTCCTCATTAACAGCACATAAGCTATTTGCTCCTGGGAATTTGAGCATTGTAATTGACACTGGGTATCGGTTTCTCCTTCATTGCTCCATGATAAATGCACACCTACAGCAAATTTGAGGTTTGATTAAACAAAAGTATGTGATCCTCTAAAGAAAGGAGGATTTTATCATATATACGAATGTCTCCATACAGCAAGACTAAAGAATTTCAATTTGGCATTTTTTACCTCACTTTTTTGCCCTTCAGAACTTTATGAAATGTTATGCATTTAGTTACAGACCAATTCTAAGTAACCAAAATAGCTTGAAAAAATATGCATGCATTAAAAAAATAATATATTTTTTAAAAAGATAAATCCATTGAGAAGGTTGTATCTGCCACAGAAACAGTAACCAGTTTCACTGAATTCATTATTTTGTATCAGGCTGTTTGCTGGGCTGCAGTTTTACCTTATATAGTGTTCTTTTCTTAGTTTCACATAACTACTTTAATTCTTTCTGGACGCATTCCAAGTTTCAGCTTCTTTTCCTGCTTTTGCAGCTGATTTCACATGACAGTTTTTCATTGTTACTGTGTCAAGAAAAAGATCTTGAGCTATTTAATTTATCTTGGCTTTGTTTCAAAATAGGTTTAACTTCTTATTAATTAGCTGATTATCTTTTACATTCATTTATGTCTTTCATAGTTCCAAATCCCAGTATATCCCTTAGCATCACACTTCTTTTTTTTCTGACTACTTTTCCAACAGCCTGATTGATTATGTGAGTTCACATTCTCTATAGTACTGTACTCTCATGTGAATCTGTTAATTAGAATTCCTGCACAACTTCTTGGAAGTAGGAATTGTACGTTTTATTTTTGAAGGTATATAATTTGTTCTCTACAGTCTGGCTAATTCTGAAACCTTCTCTCCTTCAACTTGGAAAGTAGCCTGTACTTAAGGTTAATTGATTAGAGTTTGCCAAATACTCCAGACTGCGAGTCTAGGATAGTCTTAAAATTAACAGCAAAAAAAGTACAAATATTTAAGATACTAAGTCTTGCAATTAACAGGTTTGCATCCAAGACACTTTCATATTCAGGATATTTTTTCATAAGTGGCAATTATTGGTTATTTTAGATGAAACCATATGTTATTTCCAAGACCTCGATAACTATATGTGATAATTATTTATAAGGCATCATGAATAGAAATCCTGGTAAAATTGTGTTTTGGCAATTGGATCCTGGCACAGCTCCATGGTAGATCAAGTATCTACATATTCTTTGTTGCCAAATTTTACTCACTCTCAAATTTGTCTTAATCTTTATTTGCCTATGTATTAACAGGAGGAGGGAAGCAAGGGGATGCATATCCTGGTCTTGAAGATCACATTAGAAATCAGGAAAAGACATGGAAGTGCTTTTTAGTAAGCCCATTCATCACTACAAAACTACCTTTCCACATTTACTGATTTCTTTTGGTTTAGTAAATACTGTCTTATGTTCCATGGGACTCTTTTCTGTAAATCTCCTTTTGATAGTGTCCTTGTTCTCCATAATTTTTGTCTTCTGTCCTCAGGGACCATTATTTTTCTCAATCCTCTTAAGAAAGAGTGGAATGTTTCCAGTCTTCATTCCTTTATTTGCTTGGAAAATGGCCATCCATGCCTAAAGCTGCAAGCTCCATGATTTTATTATTTCAGTGCTCATACTGACACTCTCTTGCTGCCAATCACAGTAAAACAAAGGTGAAAACAAAGTTCTTAATGGCTGGCGACAAACTTACCTGAGCCAACCTGGACAGTCCTGCTTCACTGAACAACCAAGAGCTCCAATTATTTATGCTCTCTTTAAAAAAAAAATTAAAAAAAAAAAATCTAGAATTAACAAAGTGCTGAAGTGCTGAAGCCACAGCTTCTCCCTCAATACTGACCTGTTAGGTAAAGACTGATTTGTTAAAAGCGATGCCAGTTCTGTGCAGAGAAGCAAGCTGCTGTGATGCTTGTCATCTCTATCTGCTAGATGAGCACTTCAGCTGCTGGGAGTTTACTTTGGCACCAACTCAGATCTAGTCCATCTTCGGAGCTAGAATATGTGCACATTCTTGCTCGCACGTCCACATCCTCAATGGGTGGGGACTCCTCTACTTATGTATATATATGTGTGTATTCCAATGCATGTTGGAATTTTTCAGGGAAACAACAAAGCTTTTGTGCCTTTTTGTGTGCGTGAAAATTGACATGGTTTCAACAACTGCTTTAATTTATTCAAGTATTTAGGTACTGTTGCTTCTCATTTCAGAACTTTGACATTAAAAAAGAAAAGAGAAACTGCAGTACTGGATTTCTAATCTTTTATATGACAGGCTTCATGAATGCAAACTGCTCTATTTGATGGTTGAATTTAAGCCCCAGTTCTGCAAATCTCTTCAACATTTGCTTACCACTGAAACATGACTTGTCCTGCTGGTGTCAGTGCAGTAATAACTTCTCAACTCTGCTTTTTATAAAGCTTTCTATTCCTTTTAAAATGAGTGTTTTATATCAATGTGAAGTAGAAATCATTTTGCAATTTAAACTGCAACTAAATTACCCTATTATTGATAGCCAACAATCTTTCTTTAGGATGCAGTAGACTAAAATAGGCCATACATGTGGTAAAATGGGAACACTAAAGCAGAAACAATAACTCCAAAATGTTTTCCTCCTTGTGTAATATAGGGTTATTAAATTCCTGTCATTATTTCATTTTGACATGTGCCTATGCAATGTAAGCATTCATTGCAATGGGTACGTTTGAGATGGATTATCTCTGGTCTTGTATCTATCCTTAACTATGCTTGCAATGGAAAGTGTAGCTAAGTCCTATACCCTCAGGTAGCTGTGCTGCTGCAGGTTCTTTTTCAGCACAACAGCTTGAAATTCTATTCTGCTCAGCATCATGCGAGTACAGATCAAGCTGTTCTTTCCAAGGCCTCCCATTGCTCTTGACATGGGCTGGAAATAACGGCCAGGTTTATTGCTGTGTTATTATTGCTCTAAGGTCAAGCTCCCGGCTCTTTCATCCATTCTTCTGCTCTCCCATTCTTTCATTTGTTCATCTTGACCCAACTCACACTTGTGAGCTACATTGCATTTGTTAGATCAAGAGGCTGCCTGCCTGCCGTGCCTCAGAGCATTAAGTAGGGCAGTGGTCCTTTGGGTCCTTTCCTTGGGGAATGGAGCATGATCTAGAGAAATAAATGTTATTCTCTTCAGCCAAGAGTGAATGTGTATGTTGTATCAGTTGAACACATCTCTGACACTGATTTAACAGTTCCTTCTTCTTAATATGTATCACATATACTCTCTCCCACTGCTGAGGTACAAAAATTGAAATCACACCATATAAAAAGGTCAAATTTACCTAATTTTGTTCTGCTTAGGTTACAGGTTTAGGCAATGCCACCAGGTGAACCTTTAGACTCTTTTAAAAGTAGTGTTTTGACATTTTCTCTACCTAGAAACATCATGATGAGAAAAAATTACTTTTTCAGGCTGCAACTACAATTCTCTAGTAGTTATTGGAATATTTCACAATTTAAAAAGACCTATCAGATGGAGTCCCATCTTATCACAAGAAATGCTGTAACACACCCTACCTATCCTGGTATAAATGTGGTCATTTTCAAAGCAATCCAGAAGGTTTAAAAATCTGGTGTAAGCTTAAGTCTTGTTTTGAAATTCCCAACAGAAGCTAAGGACAGGGTGTGTACACAGGCAAAGTGATAGGTGGCCCAGAGACAGGTCTCTCCATGGACTGCAAGTGATTGGGCAAGTGTCAACATCAGGGACATTGCCAGGCACTTGACAGCTCTCCACAATTTCTGATGGCTTTTTCTTCAGGAAGTCAGACTCTCTGTGTGGTCTTCTATAAGGAAGGCAAGAATGGTGTTATCTACAGAGCACAACTAGATGACAAAACCAAGTAAATCTCTGTGTCTGCTCTAGCACATTAAGGAGAGAGACTAGTGAGCTCAAGCCAAGGCCACAAGTCCCCAAGTCCTCTTGGTCACATCAGGATCTTTGTTCCACTGGACATTTTTAAAATAAAAATTTATGAGGGTTATGAAGAAAAAGAAATGAAAAAAGTATTATGTTTCCTGCCATGGTGTCAGCCTAAGGTCTTCGAAGTGACCTTTGGAGCATAAGTGTTGCTTCCCACTAATGTCTCCTTACAAAGCCTGCCAGACAATATCCTGCAGTCAGTGGTGGTGCTGTCTGCCTTGAGGCATGCAAATGCCTTAGACATTTTAAAATGAACAGACATTTTGTGTTTCTTGTG